GGAAAAAATCAAAGTCAATGCCATCTGGTCTTTTCTGTCCTTCTTAACACTTGTTTCTCAGGAAGGGATTTCTTTTCACGGCATTCCTTCAAGTGTGACCCCACCCTCACTGAGTCATCGTCCCTTCTGACAACTTGCTCCATCTGTTTGTGTTTCATATTGCTCCTTCCCTGCTGAGACCTCCTCCTTCTTCTTCCTCTGTCTCTCTCTCTCTCTCTCTCTCTCTCTCTCTCTCTCTCTGTCTCTCTTTCACACACAAGACATACACACACACACACACACACACACACACACACACACACACACATTGAAGCAGTGTATCTTGTAGTCCAAGCTGGCCTAGATGTAGAACTTCCTATGTAGCTGAGGATGACCTCCTACTCCAGATCTCTTGCTCTACCTTCCAAGTGCTGGGATCATAGGTGCTCACAAATATGCTTGCTCTGCTACTTATTTTGACTGTGTTTCCTGTCACTCACATGAAGCAATTAAGCAACTTGTCATAGCATCTTCTAGGATTGAAATCTAAGTCAGACATCAAGGATCTCAGGCTCTTCAATCACACATAGTCGAGTTGACACAGAGATGATGATGAGACTTCAACAAGTTTCCCCAGTGCAGAGAAATACACCTTTAATGCCAAGGTGACCTACGCTAAAATAAGTAGTAGGATGTTCATTCACCAAGGTGAGGATTGCTTACTGTAGCCTTATGTTTTGTAGTTTAAGGGCAGATCAGTGGTGGTGGGGAAAGAGGGGTCCAAAGAGCTGTAAAGCTTTCTCCTCTTTTATTCATCAGCATCTGTGCATCCACACTACACTCATCCTTTGAGAGGAAGGCAGGTGGAATAGATGGAGACATACTGCCCCATGTCTGGATTTTTAGAGACACTGAGAATTCAGACAAGTATCTGAGATTAACCTTGTCCAGTGGAGACAGAGAACTTTCGGGGTCACAGGTGAGTCTTCTGTGCTTTTCATAAAACAGAACAAAACAAAATATATAAACATCTAAAGGATATTTTAAAATGTCAGGTTTGTTTCTATTAAGAGGTATTGGGGAACTAAACAACACAAATTTCATTATGTCAACTCTGGGCTGGATCTGAGGAATGCTCCTGGGGTGAGTTTGTTGCTCAGTTTATCAGCATTGAGCAGATACAAACCCCAAGCTTCTGATGTGTCCCTTATAGTGTACCAAATGCAACATCAAGATGTAACACCCTAATACGAATGACAGAAATTACAGATATCCAAGGTGTTGCCATGGTGGCTCCATGGTCATGTGGAGGTGACAGGTGACACAGAACTCCACATACCATACTGTCCTCAAAAGTGCTTGATTCTGACAATTTTAATATGCAAAAGTAACAAGCCAAATACGAACAAAGGCACAAAGCCCAAGCAAAGGTTTCTGCCATTATTAGCATTAGAAGTGTCATACTGGGATAATGTAATTCACTCAGGAAGTCTTGTCATTGGGCAGATCAATAGCTCTGACCTACTTGATTATATAACTTGTGATTATGTCCCATTATGAAACTCATTACCTGGTCCTGCAAGGGGGAAAAAAATCTCACTTGTATTTCTTTCAGTTTCTTTTCAAACTGAATATGCTGAGGATTGGTCTTGTCATCCTATATAATGACAGGCTCCCACATTTGATCAGGTAAGGAATACATAAAGAAGCCAGCACCCTGGTTTAGTAATTTATCCTCCTATTAAAAACCTAGGTCTGACGTTTCAACAGTAGTCTGTGTACCATCCTGACACGTTATTTCTTCAGTGCATGCTTAGATTTTATCTGTTACTGCCTTGAAAGATGAAGAAGCTGAGGGAGGTGTCTTCTCTACCCTCTAAACACGGGGCAGGTCCTGCCTTTCCCGCATCCTTCCATCCTTTCCTTCTTGGTAATATACTTTGATCCATTTCTCTCCTTTCTTAGCAATCCTGCTTGTATCATCTTGGCCTTAGCATTCCATCCTTTGTTATGTTTGGTTGTGCACTGGTCATCATCACTGCACTGGGAACAGCACTATGCAGAAAGTAAGAGAGAAAAGAGTGTGACTAAGTGCAAGGACAGATGACAGCTGTACCAGGGATGTTTAGGCAGGGATGTCCTTTCAAGCACCATAGCTGAAGGTACAGGGAAAGAGGTGGATCCAAGTGCCTCCTGTTACTCCTATTTGTCCTCTGTGGGATAATTCTGTGCACTAAGTCTTGAAGAGCTTCTCACAGTTGGGCTAGAAGCTCGTTCTTACCAACTACCCACTATAATAGCTGACTTAATAGCAAATCTTATAGTGAGTCTTTCCCTCTCTGACTGCTCCTTTTATCTACCTATGGTCCTTGCACCTCTTGAATCTCTCTCAAAACTATCCTGCCTTTAAGTTCTTTGAACATGGCCTGCTTTGAAACTTGAACTAAGCTGTCAAAATGCATGCTCTTCAGAGCATTGCTTCTAATAGAGAACAAATACTAGAGTAATTATAAGACTAGCGTCACATAGGAACTTAGGAGAAAACAGCCTGAGCTGGCAGAGTTAGATAAGATGACAACTCAGAAGCCAACATTGAAGCCAGGCCTTATAAATTAGAAAGAGTGTGCCAGCCAGAGATGACAAAAATAAATGATGCATAAAGTTAAATGCTATGCCTCTTTTCTCATTAGATTCTTGTGTGGGGTTTAGGGACTAGAATTTTTCTAATACAGTAATCTATACAAAAGTCACTTGCCTGTAAGTCAGGGGCTCAGACTTAAACGTGTCAGCACATATTCTATACTCACAGATTTTCATGATTACACCATCTACACAGAAGAAAACCGACTTCTAAGGCAGATAAATATAAGCTCCAGTTGTCCCTTGAGTCAGCTGTGGGTCCCTAAGTGGAAATTAACATCTAAATCTGTAATGTCAACTGATACTGGAGATAACTACTCAAAATAAAGTTTTTACATTGTTTAACTGAAATAGCATGTGATGTACCTACTACAGTATTTCCTGTAGACACTCAGTTGACACAGCAGCACTTGTAAGACCGTGTTGAAGATTACTACTGGGCAAGGAAGAGTCTGTGTGTGTGATTTCACGCTGTCCTCCCTCTCCTCTAGAGTGATATAGTCAGTACTCTGATACTGATACTCTGATTTCATGTCCCCAGAGATTGGTATACATGATGGACAATGGTGAGATTGAGGCTGCAATAGCTCCTTAGAACCAGGATAGAAAAAGTGAATGTGCCAGCTGCAGGGTTCAGAGATTATTGCAGAAACAACTCAGGAGTTTAGACATGCTTTGGCAGGTGATTAAAGACTAGGTTGACAGACAGGAGATACTAATTCCTTTTTCTTGTTGTGGAAGCTGTAGATGTCACACTGTGTCCCACAGTGTTTCCCTCTGTCCACATATCTTCACTTGCAAATATTCATTGCAATGGTTTGAGATCTCTGGCTTCTGTGACACCATTAATATTGGGTCCTCATTGGGACTCCTCCCTGTCATCTAGTTGTTGCCCTGTGTCATGGAGATACTGAAGCTTTGGATCAGCAGGACTGGCCCCAACCATTCACAGATGATGTAGATTTTGGGGTGGACCAATTCAGAGTTCTGGATCTGGGCGTGGTTAGAAGCTGAGCCAGTCTCTGCATTGACTCTCCCTTATCAGTGCCACCAGGGTAAGCTGTCTAGCCCTGCTCAGGCTAGAACATCCAGTGCCATCAGCAGCAGGAGGCAGGGTCAGCTCTCCTGCTCTCGTGCCTTCAAGGCCAGCTTACCTACACCCAATCCTCCAAAGCTAGTTCCACTGTGCAGGCTCCACTCTCCCAAGTGTTACAGCCTGTAAGGGTGCAGCTCTCCCACTTTCACAACCTCAGGGCTGGATGACCTGTGCCTTTACAATGGGAGCCAGCTCCACTGTGTTGCCCAGGCAGGGTACAGGGCCCTCTCTCCTGAGTGCTGCAGCTGGTGAATCAGGGCCAGCTCACCTGCTCTCATGACCCTGAATCAGCTCTCCTCACTGCCTCCAGTGGCAATGGCAAAGGCCAAAGGGGCAGAAGGCATCTCCCAACCCCACCCAAGCCACCTGATGACAGGCAAGTGGCAGAACCAGTTTTCTCTCAATCACACCCTTGGGGTGGCTCAACCATACTCCTGCCAACAGGGTCCACACTACTGTGCTGTCTGGGTGAGGTGCAGTTCCCACTCTTCTGAATGCTGGAGCTGGTGAGGGGCAGGGCTAGCTCTCCCAGGCTCATGACACTGTGGACAGTTTTCCTAACTGCCTTATGTAGAAAGGGGCTGGGGGAGGATGCCAATTCTGCACTTGTGCCACCCTAAGGAAGATGAGTGACAGAGTCAGCCCTCCCATACACCAGGCCCAGCTTTACTGTGACACCTGGGCAAGGTGCATGACACTACTCTTCTGAGTGCCCAGCTGTAGAGAGGCTGAGGGTTGGAGCTAGTTCTTCAGAGTGCCAAAGCGAGTAAGGGGCAGAGCCAGTTCTTCACAGCCCCTTGGTATCCACATGGTCATGTTTTCTAGTGGTAATATGAGCCACAGACATTGACACTGACTACTGCTACCTTGTAGACAAGGACCCAGTCATGGCCTTCAGCAGCAGCTTGGGCTAAGACCTCATCATAGCCGTAGCTGGCAGGGCTGGCCACTCACAACAGGGTCCTCCCCTCCACTCTTGAGTCTCCAGTTCCATCTCTCTTCAGAATGCTTATGCTACTCTACTTCTTTTTCTTTTTCATCTGTCCATCATAGACTCACACATTGTCACTACCGCTGCAGGCTGGCCTCAGTTGACAGGCCCCTGGGTGACAGCCTTTTGTCTATGCAACATGTTGTGGTATCAGGCAGGTGTCTATGGTCTGCCTGTGTTGTGGGTCGAGGGGCACTATGGGCATCTTTCCTCATCCACACCTGCGTCACATGGTGGAACACAGATCTCTGTCTTCTCCCTCTCATGCTGTGCTACTTGTATTTGATTTGATTTTTATGAGTCCTAGGCATAAAACAGCTTTGGCCACCAAGCCAGACATCAAGCTAGGATGAACAAAAGACTGCTGTCTACTCTGCCCTGACTGATAGAAAAACACCACCACCAACAAGATGTCTCTTTGCTCATTGTCATGAGGTTAGGAGATACTTTTATGTGGGGATAACCTGAGGTCACCAGAAAAAACAGGTAGAGGGATTGTGGGTCTTGGGGCAGACATAACTTTTAGGAAGTCTTGGATCTGCTGTATGACTTCATCTGTTCTCCTTTGTGTCTAGTGCTTTCAAAGCACTAAACCCTACTGAATTTGAGCAATTTCAAAGATTCTAATGTGTGTTTTGTGGTGGCAGGGAGTGAGCAGAGAGGTTGGCCTTAGTCAGAAAAGGAAAACATTGTTGGGCTAGTTATCTCTCTGTCACAATGAAATAAGGAGAATCATCTGGAAAGGGGAGTCTTATTGAAGGAGGTGCCTCCATCAGGTTGGCCTGTAGGCAAGTCTGTGGACAATATCTTTGATTGATGTGAGAAGGTCCTGCCCACTGCAGGCAGTGGCACTCCTGGGCAGCTGGTCTTGGAATATATAATAAGAAATTAAATAAGCTGTGGGGGGCAAGCCAGTAAGAGGGTTCCTCCATGGTTTCTTCTTCAGCTACTGCCTCCAGATTCCTACCTTGAGTTCCTGCCCTGACTTTTCTTCATGATAGACTAGGTGCTATAAGATGAAATAAATGATTTTCTCCCCAGATTGCTTTGGTAATGGTATTTATCATAGCAATAGAAAGCAACCTAGGATAGTAAAACTTGGTGAATGAGGATTCCTGAAGAAAAAAAAAATAGCTGTGTCTGAAGTCAGACTGACTGGCTGATTAGAACTTGAGTTGCATGAAGAGGGGCAGAGTGTAGCAGGTTCAGAGCCTAATTACCTAATTACAGCTCTAGCCCCACGAATAACCATCGCTTGTCCACCACCCTTGTTATTCTTTGCCAGAATTAATATCCTGTGCCTAACTTATAAAATCTTTTTGGAAGCCATTACCTTAGCAGGCAACAAGCTTTGACAAACCCCAAAATTAAGAATGTCATTGGATAACTAATCTGATTCCTTCAGTGGTACTTCTCATGTTTGTGTGACTACCTCTCTGATGTTCACACCAATGTACTTCAAAGGTGTCTTGACTTATACCTTTCTTTGTTCTGTTACTATAGAAATTTCATGAAACTGCTTCCATGTTGGAATATGAAATTTCAGGTTACCGAAATCTGTGTTCCTGGATCGTGGTCACTCAAATTTGAAATTAGGGTAATTCTCATTTATTCTCTTTGAGCTCACAGCTCTGTCTTTTGTATCAACAACACTGAATTAAGGAGTTTTAAAAATGTATTCTCTGGTATTCCATACATGAATAGTATCATGTTTAGATCATGCCCACCTACTGTTTCTTAACTCCAGATAAGCTTCCAGGAGGGAGTCCTTTTATATACCTTATTTTTTGACATAGACCTATTATACAGGTATTTTAAAAATCCAAAGACAAGTTAACTTAGACTATCTATTTGCTAGTAACTGAGTTTTAAAATCATCCAACTGCACCCCAGTGTTCCTTTACCAGGCGAGCTCTGATTTGGCAAATGGCATAAGGTGAGGCTGTAAGGCAAACATAGATAGATCATAATTGTGAGATACTGTGAGTCAATGTCCTTCGCTGTGTGGGTAGTAGGATGGAGGCATAGGTAAATGGGATGAGAAGGAAGGAAACCTGGCAAAGGAAGAAGGAGCTTGGGGCGAGACTAGAAGTGAATGGGGATTCGAGGATTCGCCCAGAGAAGCATCTGGGACTCCTGCTTGCATAATCCTAAGTACTCTGAAATATCCAATTACTTTTAATAATGATTCAGACACTCAGAGTATTGGGCAGTTAGGCTAATCTAAAAGGAAAACAAGCTAACAACAAGCCTGTCATATGTCTTGACCACAACTGAGTCTGTTATCTCTGTTCTGAAGAAAGAAGTTTACCACAATTAGGAGTTTTTTTCCTTCTTCTAACTTTTGCTGAGAGGACTATCTCTGCCTTTCCTTACAAGAATTCTCATTCACATTACTTGTAAACCTCCAGGGGTTCATGATTATTTACATACACAAATTGAGTGCTGATAGAGTCACAGAGCTGCATGCATGAGTCAACACCTTAGGATTTATTTCCATAACCTTCAATTTGTAAACCCAAGAACAGTTTGTTTTCTTGTCTGCTTGGTACAGTTTTAGAACTATGATTGATTAACTCCTTATAAGAAAATCTTGGTCTGGAACGAGGCACACACATTGAAATGAAATTTATAGGATTTGGGAATAAAGGAGTCTGGTATTGAGAAATGACTGCAGCTGTAGAAAAAAATCTGTGATTTCACATGGCCCTGAGAAGGTTCCAATGAACATTTTCACCATGCAAAGGGCTGATAATGTGTCTGGACTGCATGGAAGCTGTGTTTTAGAAAGGTGTTTTAATCTGGCAGACCATTTGGTGATGATGATTGGAACCTTGAAATTAGCATAATGAATTATCTTATCTTTATTTCCTTTATAATATATGCCCACAGTTTTACATTTCATTGCTAACTAACCTAAAAAGTTATCAGTGCACAAAAAAACAAACAAGTTCCCATCAGACAGCTCTTAGTGCTTTGTACAGTTATGTAATTCCCAATGGAAACAGAATTCTCCCAACTGGGAATTATAGTTAGAAAGTTGCATACAGACTTAAAGTGTATAAAATGAGATTTAAAATGCTTTTAAAACAGACGGCAACACCTGCCCCAAACAGGAAGTAACTGAGACCCACTGGGACCCAGGAATTTACTCCTGGCCCAGGGAACTGGTTCCTTCCAGTTACACACAAGCACTGAGCAGAACCTAGGCTTCAGCTCTGTACCCAATCCCACAAGAGGTAGGGCTCCCAGGACCTCTAACCCTTGCAGTATCTTAGATAAGGAGACAGCAACGCCTGCCCCAAACAGGGGGTAACTGAGAGTCACTGGGACCCAGAGCAGATCTTGGGCCTCAGCTCTAATCTCAGCAGCAAAATCCACTCCAAACAGTTCTGACACAGCCAATAGGAAAGACAGGTTCCAGTCAGAGACAGCAAAGGTAGCACTAAGGAGATCCAGGTAGCAAAAGGCAAGCTCAAAAACATAAGCATCAGCAACCAGGGTACTTGGAATCATAGAACCTAGTTCGCTCACACTAGAAAGTCCTAAATTCCCCACATCACCAGGAAAGCAAGATTCAGATTTAAAATCACCTCTAATGATGATGATAGAGGACTACAAGGATAAATAACGCTCTCAAAGATATTTGACAATACAGGAAAACAGGTAGAAGCCCTTAAAGAGGAAACACAAAAATCCCTTAAAGAATTACAAGAGAACACAACCAAACAGGTAAGAGAATTGAGCAAAACCATCCAGGGCATAAAAATGGAAGTAGAAACAATAAAGAAATCACAAAGGGGGACTACCCTGGAGATAGAAAACCTAGGAAAGAAATCAGGAGCCATAGACCCAAGCATCACCAACAGAATACAAGAGATAGAAGAGAGATTCTCAGGTGCAGAACATACCATAGAAAATATTGACACAACTGTCAAAGAAAAGGCAAAATACAAAAAGTTCTTAACCCAAAACATCCAGGAAATCCAGGACACAATGAGAAGACCAAATAATAGGTATAGAAGAGAGTGAAGATTCCCAACTTAAAGGGCCAATAAATATCTTCAACAAAATAGAAGAAAACATTCCTAACATAAAGAATGAGATGTCCATAAACATACAAGAAGCCGACAGAACACTAAAAATAGACTGGACAAGAAAAGAAATACCTCCGATCATATAATAATAAAAACACCAAATGCACAAAACAAAGAAAGAATATTAAAAGCAGTAAGGGAATAAGGTCAAGTAACATATGTAGGCAGACCTATCAGAATTACACCAGACTTCTCACCAGATACTAAAAAAGCCAGAAGATCCTGAACAGATGTCATATAGCCCTTAAGAGAACACAAATGCCAGCCCAGGCTACTATACCCAGCAAAACTCTCAATTACCATAGATGTAGAAACCAAGATATTCCAGGACAAAACCAAATTTACACAATATCTTTCCACAGATTCAGCACCACAAAGCTCCAACTACAAGGAGGGGAATTATACCCTAGAAAGACCAGGAAAGTAATCTTCTTTCAACAAATTCAAAAGAAGATAGCCACACAAACAATGCCACCACTAATAACAAAAATAACAGGAAGCAACAATTTCCTCTTCTTAATAATATCTCTTAACATCAATGGACTCAATCCCCTAATAGAAAGACATAGGCTAACAGACTGAATATGTAAACAGGACCCAGCATTTTGCTGCAAAGAAGAAATGTACCTCAGTGACAAAGACAGATACTACCTTAAAGTAAGAGGTTGGAAAACAAATTTTCAAGCAAATGGTCCTAAGAAACAAGCAGGAGTAGCCATTCTAATATCGAATAAAACAGACCTTCAACTTAAAGCTATCATAAAGGATAAGGAAGGACATTTCATATTCGTCAAAAGAAAAGTCAACCAGCATGAACTCTCAATTCTGGACATCTATGCTCCAAATGCAAGAGCACCCACTTTTGTAAAAGAAACCTTACTAAAGCTCAAAGCACACATTGTACCTCATAAAATAATAGTGAGAGACTTCAACACCCCACTGTCAGCAATGGACAGATCATGGAAACAGAAACTTAACAAAGAGATACAGTGAAATTAACAGAAATTATGAACCAAATGGATTTAACAGATATCTATAAAACATTTCATCTTAAAAAAAAAAAGAATATACCTTTCTCTCAGCATCTCATGGTACCTTCTCCAAAATAGACCATACAATCGGTCACAAAAGGGGCCTCAACGGATACAAGAAAATAGAAATAATCTTATGCATCCTATCAGATCACCATGGACCAAGGCTGGTCTTCAATAATGATAAAATCAATGGAAAGCCCACATTCAAATGGAAACTGAACAACACTCAACTCAATGACAATGTAGTCAGGGAAGAAATAAAGAAAGAAATTAAAAACTTTTTAGAATTTAATGAAAATGAAGACA